GTTAAAAATCAGCTTAACCCGCCAATTATAGTTGGCACTCCTTTTATAAATGCTATTTATCCTTTCTCAGAGTTAAATTCAAAGGGTTTTACTGCAAATTATAATGGTAATACCATTAATTTTGAGTTTATAACTGAGCCTATAACTAGAGATATTAACTCTTTAATTCATTTGAAACAAAAACATATTGAGTCTTTACAAATGGAAATTTTCAGTCTTAATATTTCTGATTCTTTACATCTCCTAAAGTCTAGAAAAAAATTAAATTAATTTCTGGAAAAATGACTGTTGACATCTGTGCAGATCATCCAAATGCTTTTTGGAACAGGAAGAAACATATTGTAACTCTTCCTTATGACGACTCTTTAATGAAGCAGATATTCCTACAAAATCTCGTCCTTGTCAAATGAATTCTGAACTTGTTGATTTCTGCAAAAAAGAAATTGATAATTTATTATCAAAGGGACTTATAAAACCCTCGTAATCTCCATGGTCTTGTACTGCATTTTATGTTAATAAAGCAGCAGAACAAGAAACAGGTGTTCCCAGGTTGGTAATAAATTACAAACCTTTGAACAAAGTTTTAAAATGGATTAGGTATCCAATTCCTAATAAAAAACATCTTCTTTCAAGATTATATGATGCCAATATATTTTCAAAGTTTAGATTTAGAAGTTTGAAGTTTTCTCTCTCTTCTCTCTCTTCTCTCTCTCCTTTGTAAAAACCTTTCTTTGTGAGTAATAAAAGCAATAGCTTTGATTTAAAAGATCTCTGTTCAAGGTATTATTTTATTTCTTTTATTATTATCTTTTCTTGTTTGCCGCCTCCATGGCCGGGTAAGTTATTTTCATATCTATGCTAGCTTCATAAGATTTGTATGATCTTCTTACTTACTATCTGGATCTAACTAAGTTATAATGCATTCATATTATAGTTTTTTATTCTTTTATCACAAGTTTTGACTTGGTTTCAAGGTGGTGGCAAATCTTAAATATCAATGATAGCGAGCATGAGGTATTTGTAAGTCCCCATTTGAGTTAATGTTAGGGGCAGCCTGAAACCCTTGTTAAAACTGCTATCAATTGATGTTTAAAATGGTCTCCCATGCTTGAGTAAAAGGTTAACATACAGCCGAAACTTAGGATAAAACTTTAAACATAACTATAATACGTTGCATGTTATAACCTGGTGTACAAAGCTAGACCTGTTAGGCCGCGCGGACTACCGCCAGCCCATAGATCCTGTTATGAGAAAGACCAAAGAAAGAAGAAAACCTTTTGAAAACTTTAATACTAGTTCTTATTCTATTCAAGAAGTTTTTAATAGACTTGAAAAGAAAAGACCAAGTATATAAGAGATACTTCCTTGGATGATTTAAAGTATGAGGTTGAAAACCTTAAAAAAGAAATTAAATCTTTAAAACAAAACTAGTTGATTAATAGTCATCGTATTTCCCAATTAGAAAAAATAATATTTCTGAAGATGATATTTCTATTCCAGAAAAAGGGAAAAATGTTTTAGATGATGAAAACCCTGAGCCAAGTGTTAAATTTCTTGGAATGCTTCAAATTGTTACTGCTCATCGTTGGTATATAAATTGTACCATTCTAATTAATAATGATTTTAAAGTTTCCAGTATTGCCATGATTAATAGCGGTGCTGATGTTAGTTGTATCCAGGAAGGATTAATTCCATCAAGATATTTTGAAAAAAATACGCATGTTGTTAAATCTGCTTCTAATCATGCTTTAGACATAAAATATAAACTTTCTAATACTTGTATTTGCCAAAGTAAAGTTTGTATTCCTCATTTCTTCTTTCTGGTTAAAAATCAGCTTAACCCGCCAATTATACATGACACTCCTTTTATAAATGCTATTTATCCTTTCTCAGAGTTAAATTCAAAGGGTTTTACTGCAAATTATAATGGTAATACCATTAATTTTGAGTTTATAACTGAGCCTATAACTAGAGGTATTAACTCTTTAATTCATTTGAAACAAAAACATATTGAGTCTTTACAAATGGAAATTTTCAGTCTTAATATTTCTAATTCTTTACAATCTCCAAATGTCCAGGAAAAAATTAAATTAATTTCTGGAAAAATGACTGCTGACATCTGTGCAGATCATCCAAATGCTTTTTGGAACAGGAAGAAACATATTGTAACTCTTCCTTATGAGGACTCTTTTAATGAAGCAGATATTCCTACAAAATCTCGTCCTTGTCAAATGAATTCTGAACTTGTTGATTTTTGCAAAAAAGAAATTGATAATTTATTAGCAAAGGGACTTATAAAACCCTCTAAATCTCCATGGTCTTGTACTGCATTTTATGTTAATAAAGCAGCAGAACAAGAAACAGGTGTTCCCAGGTTGGTAATAAATTACAAACCTTTTAACAAAGTTTTAAAATGGATTAGGTATCCAATTCCTAATTAAAAAGATCTTCTTTCAAGATTATATGATTCCAATATATTTTTAAAATTTGATTTAAAATCAGACTATTGGCAGATTCAAATTTTTAAAGAGCATACTTATAAAACTTCGTTTAATGTTCCCTTCGGGCAATACGAATGGAATGTTATGCCTTTTGGTTTAAAAAACGCACCTTCTGAGTTTCAGAAAATTATGAATGATATTTTTAATCCCTATATGGATTTCATTATTGTATACATTGATGATATTCTTGTTTATTCTAAAACTTTAGAATCTCATATCAAACATCTTGATATTTTTAAAAATATTGTTATCCAAAATGGTTTAGTTATATCTAAAACCAAAATGAGTCTTTTTCAGACCCATGTAAGTTTTCTGGGTCATCAAATTTGTAAGGGGAGAATTACTCCAATTCAAAGATACATAGATTTTGCATCAAAATTTCCTGATGAAATCATTGATAAAACTATGCTACAAAGATTTTTGGGCAGCATAAATTATATTTCACCTTTTTACAAAAATTTATCTAAAGATCTTGCTCCTCTGACAGATAGGTTGAAGAAAGGTAGAATGTTACCTTGGAATTAAGATCTTAATAAGTTGGTTAAAACCATTAAGCAAAGAGTTAAAGTTTTACCTTGTCTTACTCTTGCTAACCCTAACTGGATTAAAATCATTGAGACAGATGCGTCTAATATTGGTTATGGTGGGATTTTAAAGCAGGTTAATCCTAATGACAAAATAGAATACCTTGTTAGATTCCATTCAGGCAAATAGTCTGATTCACAGCGAAAATATGCGACTGTGGCTCATGAAATGCTTTGTGTGGTTAAATGTGTATTAAAATTCCAAGATGACTTATATAATCAAAAATTTATTATAAGAACTGTTGCTCAGTCAATTAAGTATATGTTTGATAAAGACTTCAAGCATGATATATCAAAATTAATGTTTGCTAGGTGGCAAGCACAATTAGCTCCTTTTGATTATGAAATTCATTATAAAAAGGGAAGTGATAACTCTCTTCCTGATTTCTTATCCAGAGAATTTCTAAATAATTAAAATGTCTCCTTATAGTTCTGTATTTGGAAATAAGACTTTTATTACAATTTTTATAGCTTTACAGTCATTAAGTAAAGATTTAAAAGAAACTATTATTGATAGAATATTTGATAGTATTCTAATGGAAGATTTCCTCCATGATTATGAAACTGTTTCCCTAGATGATAATAATTGGGAATATGACATCGAAGGAAATTTTGATAATTATTAAAGTTTGTTCGTCTTTTCAGGATGGCGGGAGGTAATGAACCTCCATGGTCACATATTCGTGGTTGAGGAGGAAGAAACAACAGGGGTAGAGGAAGATCATCCTCTTACCAATCTACAAGGTCGTCATATGACTCTTCTTACCCAGTTATACGACATGGACACAAAACCTTGATTAAATCAAAGATTGGAGAAGCTTCTTCATCAGCTTCATCTACATTAAATCTTAAGGATATTCCGAAAGAAAGTTCATTATATGAACAAATCCAAGCATATCTGTAAACAAAAGAGCAAAGTCATACTTTTGCCTCTATAGCCAAAGAAACTGACCCTGTCAGTAATCCAGAAGAAACAGATAAAAAAGAAATTATATTTCTTTTAGAAAATTCTGATATTCAGAGAAAAAATGAGCCCTGGAATATACTCCAGAGATATCTCACGAAAGGATTAT